CGGAGTGGGTGCATGGGAATACGCACAAACACAAGCGCAAACCAGCTTGACTTTGCTTAGACAAAAAAAAAAAAAAAAAAAAGATCCTTTGTGAGCAAAAGAAGGCCATGCTGAAGGCAGCAAGAAATGAGAAATCAGATCCTGCTTTACCTCCCAAGCAGCCTTGTTGTGCAATTCTTTTATTCAGAGCAGGCCCATGTTCCTGGGGCTCATGCATCACTGAGCCCAGCAGGTCAGATGCAGGGTGGGCTGCAAAACCCGCCGGGAAAGGCTGGCTGAATACCCGGGGGCTGAATACCCGGGGGCTTAGCCCACATTGCACTCAAGCAGCAGAGAGTCCACCCTCATGTAAGGCAGGCGTGCTGGATGCTCCCTTTCTGCACAGAGCTGCGCCAAGGATAAACACACTTCAGGGCTACAATAAGGAAGGAAGGACTGTGAGAAGTTGAGAGAAATGTGGCTGTGGCTGGCCCGTCACAGGCTGCCTGTGAAGGGTTAAGATGAGAAAGAAGCCAGGACCTGGCCAGGCGCCAAGGCAAGCCTCCAGCTAAATTGAAGTTGGCCAGCCAAGAGGCAGAGGCTGCTGTCCTCTCCCAGTAACCCAGCCTGCTGTGACCCATCCCCACAAATAGCTTCTCACCCTGCAAGCCCTGGGACGTGACAGTGACAGGCCATTTACAAGGTGTTCCTTAAACAGCTCCTCTAGCGGGGTTCCTTTCTCTAAAATAGATCATGTATAAAACCTGTAAATGTGATTTTAGCCCTACTGGTCTAGGCAGAAAGGGTTATTCAAAACAAGGAGTCTTCTCCAAGTTGGGGGTAACTTGCACAGGATCCCTTTTCCAACACTGAGCTATGTGTGTGCTCGCATATGATTTTAGGTGTGCTGAGCAGCTACTGATCCAGTTGATTTTGAACTGTGGAGGATGTATGTGGTCAGGACTAGGTCTCATTATTAGAAGAAAAGTCGGATTTTTCTTGAGCTCATACAAATCCCAGCTATCAGTACAATGTGCAAATTGACATGTTGTTGGACCAGAGCCTGTTCGCCACCGACCAACCCACTCTGCTGAGGTTTTTGAGCTGTAAGGAACTGAACTTACCACAGGCAGACACACAAGTTAATGCAGGAGCAGCTTAACACTCTGCTCATTTTGTCATTGCTCTGTGTGGCTGGCAAGGAACAGTTATCAACCAGTTAATATCCAAATATGAATTCTGATGTCAACAAAGCTATGAGGATGTCACACAGTTGTGAAGGGAATAACCACTGAAAAACAAGTAGAGTGACTGCCACTGTGGTTTTAAAACTCCTGTTTTAAAAAAAAAAAAAGAGGAGAAACCCCCTTTTCATTTGGCTCCAATTACTACAGACTTTGAGAGCTCACTATATCACTTCCTAATGCTTTCAGGGGAGAGGAAAGTACTCATATCCTTACTTTGCACCAGAGAACTGAAACACAGAGGGAATGACTCGTCCATCCCAGCCAATGCCAGAGAAGATAAATGAATCCAGGTTACACAGGCCCTACTTTCTCCTTGGAACAGCACCAGAAAGCCTTTAGTCAACTCATGTGCCCACCCAAAATCCACTGTGTTCTGTATAGCAGGTAGAGCCCAGAGGCTTGTAAACCCACTGCCTCCCTGGGGGCTACACGAAGTGCTGACCTACCCGGCTAACAGCCGCACGCTGCGGCGGCGAGAGGCGTTTCCCCCAGCCCGGAGCAGGCAGAGTGACCCAGCGCCGGGGCTCTCACAAGCTCCGCGTCAACATGAGCTCAGGAAGAGCAAATGCAAACCACATTTCCACAAAAAACTTTTCCCCAACTGAAGGGACCTTGGTTCCTAGCCCTGGGAAAACAGCTGAAAAAGAGGCATGGACGCCAAACCCAAGAGTCTAAGAGTCAGCTTTGAAGAAACAAAGGGTGGGAACATTAGTTTTAATATGGGAATTGATCCGGGGGAGAAAGCCGGCAAGCAACAGAGCAGAGAGACAGGCAAAAAGGAAATTTACTTTGGACCTAATCCTACAAACTCAACGCAGGAGAGAGCTCTGCGGACACTGCTCCTCACCTCGGCTGCTCGAAGGTCCACCCACAGCCACCGGCAGACAGACAGTCTTTGTCATGCACAGCACGGCTCTTGGGGTGGAAGGGATGAGGATGAAGGTGAGAATGAAGGCAGGTCACCCTGAGCCAGAGAGAGAGAGCAGGATGCTGCACCCCTGCTCCTCCCAAAGCCTCACCACCACTCTAACGTAGAGCTCTGGCTCTCGGGGGAAACCAGACATCCAAGCTCCCCTTGTTCTGCAACACAAACCTGGCTGCTTAGCTCACATCTACCCGGGGACCGGGCTCCGACCTGCAATCCCGGAGACAGGAAAGCTGCCCCAAGGCTCAGGAGAGGCAGCACGGCCCCAGACCGCAGCCCCACGCAGGAAGGCTGCCCCTGCCTGCCCAAGTGCTTCAGGCTTGGAGGAAGAGAACCAGACCACCCACGCACCCACACTCGGGCTCTGTCCGCACCACGTTGGGCGGCGCGGCCGGGGGAAGTCTGCCAGCACTGCCGGTGGGCCAAGGCAGCCTCCAAACTGCTAACAGGTGGCTTTCAACAAGAACAGCTCGAGCTGGGTTTGAACTGGTGCCCGAGCACAGAAAGCTCCAAGTTTCATCCTCAGCCCCCTCAAAATTTTTATCTACCATGATCTACATAGACAAAGGAAGAGGAGTCTGTACATCGACTCCTTTTGGTAGTGGTTTTGTCTGCTGCTGTCACCTTGCACGGTGCTTCTCCTGTGCAAGCATGCCCTGGAGGACACTAGATCTGCTTGCAAGACCTCCTGGCCTTCTGCTTACATCAACAAACAGGACGGCAAGATGTAGCTTTACCCCTTCCCTTCAGCAGACCACAAGGCCAAAATCAAGGGCAAAACATAACATCGTGCACAAGCCAAGGCTGAAAGAGAGCTCAGGAGACCACTGAGCCCCACGCCATGAAACTCTCTCGTCTGGATCCCTACCGGATGGCTTTACCATGGCCCACTCAGCAGCAAGATGTGAAGTTGACACCAGTGTTGCTGGGACAGCCAGATGCTGGGACGTCCTCAGTGGCTGCAGCTGCCTGCCGGGATGCCAGGACAAGAGGGATTCCCACAGGAACCCAGCCAAGGTTCAGGCTGGGTGCTGTACGCTCCCATTCGAACAGCCGGGGTCTAGTCCAGGTTTTTTTTTTGCTGAGGCAGGATCAAAGTTACCCCAAAGCCAACCCTAGCAAATCTGTCAGTTGGGACATGCTGTGGTTTCCACCACAACTTAATACTGTTGGAAAAACAGAGTGGGAGCTGCCTTGTCCCCTCTGTACGTCCCCTTCTTTCCCCAGAGCTGGCTTGCTGCCCACCCCATTGCTCATCACTTCAGAACATTTCCGGTACTCATGAAGGCACGAGGGACTTTATATGCATTTAAACAACCACCTCGCATCCTTCCTCTCCATCCATCCTTCCCTTTTCCCCTGCTCCTTTGGATGCTTCCCTGTCTCCTCCTCCTTCAGCTGTTTTCCCCATCAGTAGCCCAGAATTGCTCCTGTTCTTATTTATCTTCACAGCAAGACTTCAGGCAGCCCTCGCCCTATAAACTGTTTGCTGTCCCAAGCAACCTCCCTGGGCTCTCCCCATCTAAGGGGGCTCTGTGTCACCTGAAGGAAGAACCTGTCAACTTTCTGAACAAAATTTCAATTAACAAAACAAAGCATTAAAGTTCTCATTGGTTTCTTTCTCCATACAGGAGCAGAGGTGTGTGCACAAACCCATGTCAATGCTGAAATGCGTTAGATAAGCAGGTGACTAATGTCAAGTGGCTATCAGAGCCATCACCTCACCTATGTTTTTTCCTCCCTGCAAGAGATCCCAGTGCTTAAGGAAGGAGATGAACAATGGGGGATACCCCGTTCCACCCATACAAACCCACACCAACAGAAATCCCACGTGTCAGCGGAAGAGAGGGAGACACACAGAAAATGCAGAACAGTGCTGGCATTTCAGGGCGCCCTTTTTAGCTACGGCAGGAAGGTCAGAGCCAGAACAGACAACTCTAACACAATGAGCTCCCAAAGCTAAATATAAACCCATCAAGGGCATGGATACAGGAGTTTGTTTTTACGGTGAGCCGACAGACAATCAACATTGTGCCATATCCCTGCTCAAAATAATTCACAGCTTTATCATTACTGACAGTCTTTGTATTTTATCAGAGGTAGAGCCCATGCTTACACCCATTTGCCAGTCTGAGTCAGTGGAAATCATTAAATGAGACTGAGAAATACTCAAACTTTTCCATTTCTTATGATGCCAGTCTAGGAAAATCTATTATGTTCCTCTCCTGTGATGGGACCACCTCATTAGGGAGCCACTTATCTAGCTTCCTCACACACACACATTGCCCTTAATGTTACATTAACTGCTCTAAACACCATAGCGCTCAAGCCCACGGTCATTTCCCAACACACCACTTGGCAAAAACCACTTTTCCTTAAACCCGGTCACATGTTGAGATTTCTACACTTTGCTCACAGATGTCAAGATTTGGTTGACAAACTGGTTTTGCCTGCTTACTCAGAAAAAATAAAAAAAGGTGACATTTAGCCAGCATAGCTATCTCAGTATGATTTTCAGAACTGCAGAGATTTTTAGAGGAAGAGGAATTCTCATGGAAGAAAAAACTCGAGGTGTTAAAAGCAAGGAAAAGAGAATGTGCAAGAACAAAATTATGAAGTTAGAGATAAAATATGCTTCAGCCCCAATGAATGGAAGGGAAAGAGCCCTCATTAGAATTCAGGATGCTATTTTTAAATACAGTGGTAGGAAAAGAGAAAACCATGTTGCCATGTCAGTAACACATTTGTTATTTGGTGCCCAGGGAGACACTCAAATGATCTGCATGGCTGGTATTTAACTTGGTACTTCTTGCTAGGCTTATGCTACAGCAAAGAAATAAATTCCTTACTCTCGAGCATGTACTTCTTGGCAATGGGCAGAGAGAGCAGCCGGATGTGACCGATGAGGGAGCCCCAGGCATGGGCTCTGGAGAGCGGAGCTTCAGGCGGCAGCGGGCTGTATGGCTGGATCACAAAGTACACAGTCAGCAAGACCAATCCTAGTGTGAGCAGGCCCTGCGAGAGAAAAGAAGCGTATCATTAATTATACTGCAGTGAGCTGATGTGTCTTCAGAACAGGACACACCTTCTAGCTGGTATCAAAACATTGTGGCTGTGCACTGTAAGACGAACACCCAAATTTTTGCTGCGGCTCCTCCTTCAACTGCAATGCTATTTACGTACAGAGTTGTCGCTCAGTTTTCTTGTTAGTGCTGTCCAAGGACAAAATTAAGTAGCCTTCAAACCCAAGCCATGCAACTCTGTTCACGTATTTTAACACTGCAAACAATCCAACTCCAGAGCAATGAGGATTATCTACAGATAGTTCCGATTCCTCCCACCTAATCAAATAAAAGCTTGCACTTCTCCCATACCTCTTACACAAGGTTTTCAAGGCTTTTTGCAAACATCCGTCAAGCCTTGAAGCACTTTGGCAGAGTTGGCACCAGCTCCCTCCTCCATACCAGAATCCCAAATAAGCTTTAAAGAGATGACATGACGCATTTCTCCCCCTGGCCAAAGTCAAAGTGAATCAACAGCAAAAACAAGAACAGAAGCCGAAAGTTCAAACTTCCAGTTTCCTGTTCTCCTGTCTCATTTTACAGCTTTTTATAGGACATGAGGAAGAAAGCTTGAATTTTTTTCTAAATAGAAACCATCATGATGACTTTGTAAAGATGACACTGAAATATTACTGAATATTAGGCCAGTAGGAGCGTTTTCATCCTTGTAGGAAACATCTCGAACCTACTTAACAATAACATCCTTTTACCCACTGTACAAAACTTTTTACAGCATCTTTTAGTTAAGGGTCTCAAGACATTTTTCTAGCAACAAGCATCATGGAAAGAGGTTTATTTTATTGACAAGGAGGAGAATAAAGACAGGTAGAAGCCTGTGACAGGGTCAGAAACAGAATCTGGATCTCTCAGTTATTCATCCTGGAACTTTAAGAATCAACTTCCTTCCTCACATTTTCACTGTGTGCTGATACTGTGAATCTTTGCCTGAAGAATCAACCCAAGTCTCATTCTTTAATAATTAAAGGAGAAGAAGGTGTTGACATGTTAAATTTCAGCACACATGAGAAATTTCAGATCTTGGTCAGCTGTCTTCTGTTTTCAAACAAGCTCATGGAATGAAGAAAAGAAGGTACACTTCACAGCTTTTTAAATAAAGAACTCAGAAAAATCCATAAAGGAAATGCAATGGGAAATAAAAGGCTCAGGTGCAAAAGGAGAACTCTGACCCTCAAATGGTCTGTGCATGCATGAAAGACATCTTACCTTGTAGAGAGCCACTAAGATAGGGTACCGCGGAGGTCCCCTTTGGGGTTCATTTCTTTCCAAGAGCTGCTTGATGAATTTCTCTATGGCTTTTTCTGACATCCCACACTGGTGGCCAGTCTGCCTCACTAGATCAATCGTCTCCGACAGCTTGTCATAAATGCTGAGCTCATTGGCTGAAAGCTCCATGGCCTCTGATGAAAAGTCACTGTGGAAAGATTCAGTACGTTAACAGAAAACACACTCCAGCCGTACAGCTGAACCCCAGCATGTGCAGAGAGATCACAGGAACATCGTGATGTCTAGGCAGGAAGGCAGGCTTCTCTGGAGCAAACCTGCTCGCAGCCGGAGGCACAGCATTTAGCTGCAGTGCTAATAGCCTCTGCTGGTTCAATATCTCCCGAGGACTGAAAGAAGCTGTGAAATTCCCTGACAAGAGAAGAACCGGCTGAGATCCGCAGCTTATGTAAATGAACAAAGCTTCCCAGAAATCAATGAAACGCCATTTATTCATCTATTCCAAATGAATCCGTCCCATAAAGCGATTGCTCACCAAGTACAAGAGCCAGCAATACAAAGCTGATCATCACATATAGTAGCCAAGCTAAGCTCTCCTGCACTAAAATTTTCGTCACTTATTTTAATGCAGATTTGTTTTCATTACATCCCCTGTCAGCAATAGGAACAGGACAGAGGAGTAAGCAGTATGTGTGGGGCAAAGTTCAACAGTTTACAATTTGTTTAAATTTTCGCAACCTAATGTCCAGGGCCAACTGATTATTGAGTAACAGTAACATGATAGCAGCATGCTCTGCAGGCAACAAAAGCTCCTAGGTTCCTCTGAAAGTTTGCCTGCAGGTCATTCACATGCAGAAATGCCACACAACTAAATACCCCAGCAAAAATTGCACTGTGAATGCGAGACAGAGAGAAAACAGCATTTGACAGCAAATTATTCCCCACCATGAAATTTCAACGGGGAAGCTTGTAAGAACACATCTATGAGCAATCAATATTAAGATGCCAAAAAAAGAAATGTGTTCCTCTACCACTCCCCCTGTCTGCCACAAAGGCAGAGCCTTGTGATACCAAGAGCAGCAGATGGGCTGAAGAAAAGATGCAAAGAAATTGCTGGACAAGCTAATAGCTGCCAACGTGAGAATCCCATTGTTAGAGTGACCTTTTGCCTCAGAAAAACACTGCTGGGGGAAAGGGAACATCTGTGAGGTCTTGCTTTGCCTCTTGTTTCTGAGCTGGGAAAACTCTAACCTGGATCAAACTGGGATAACCAAAACTTTCTGAGGAGACAGAGTATAGCAATGCACTGTCCTAAAAGCACAGACTGAGGACCATCACGTAAAAAAACCCAAGAAGCATGATTGATACACCCAGCTCACAGCTGAAAATGGAAATCAGGCCCCTGTTCCCCTTTTGGTCTAAATACTACCTGAACACCGGGAACCAGATCATGAATCCAGTGTGCTGCTTCACCCAATTCACTACCTTGCTCTACAAAGTCTGACGCTGTTCCGCAAGAATTTTGTAACTATTTACATGTGTCTTCTCTGCACACACCCCACAGAGCAGCCTGCATCTTTAAAGCACAGAGCCATTTTGCTCACTTGAGAACAAGCTGACAAGCACTACATTAGCATGCTACCTAAACTTAGATTTGCTCTGCTGTAACTCCTTCTGGCTGCTCCCACAGGACAAAGCAGCCATAAATGTGTGTATCTATATATCAAGAAAGCAGATTTTCTTGTTAGGCCGTCAAACTTAAAATCTGATTTGCCTTTGGAAAACCGGCTAACAACTCTCCCCCCAAACCACAGGCTCCTACAAGTCAAATTTTTAATATCTTTTTTTCAGCAATACTAGAATGTAGTTTCAGAAAACAAAAAATCACTTTTTCAACAGGAGTACCAGCTTCAGCAATTGTTCCTCTCCCCCCAAGATCAACTCCCTGTTCTGCTCTTCTGGCCACATGGTGAATCAGATCAAGAAAATTATCTGGCTGAAAAATAGCCCCTATTTGTTTGGTCAGCAGCTGCCTAAGCATCCAACTCAAGCAGTCAATGTCAGATGTTACATTAACATTAGTGTCAAATTTCTAGCCACAGCCTTACAAACACCAAAAGAGTAAAATGCCAAATTAAAACCTAAACCCCAAGCATGCAATGAGAACATGCTGTACTACATTGCCAGGTTAATTAGCTCCTGGCCCTGGTCTACCGACATTCCTTGCGTTCCACGCAAATATTTGTCCCAGATCCTACCACCTGAGCAGCCCCATGGGCTAGCAAAGCTACCCCAAAGCAGGTCTGATCAATAATATCTCATTATGGATAGTAAGCTCTCCAAGGCAGGGACCTTTTCTTGTCCGTAAAGCACCTGGCATGCACTTGACTCTATAAAAACAATACATTGCTTTACTAACTCTTTCATTTATGTAATACCCTGATTCATATAACAAGCAGGAGCCAGCACATCTGCAGGGTATTAGATGCCTTTCTTTTTTCCCCCAGCTTTTATGATTACTCTAGTTGCCTTGACACTGCAACTGGTGCGCTACATGGTCTGAAAGGTTATCTAGCTTCCTCTGGCTCCTGTGTGCCAAAGCTTTCGCCTGTGAAGCTCTCCTGTGCCAAATTCCAGCAGATTCAGCAAGCTTCCCCTGCTTGCAGGATCTGCCTGGAACCGCTTAAAACAATTATCCCTATAGAAATGCTGACAAACACAGTGATTTCCCCCTTTCCAAGCAGCAGAAACATCCTACTATGATAAAATGCTGAGATACATCCCAGTTCTCCCATCCTCTACATTTGTATTCAACTCCGAGCAAACACCATTGCAGACAGCCCCTCCAAGCCACAGACATTAAAACCCAACACAGCTCCTTGACAAACTCAAGAGTAACCCATATCCTCCGCTAGGAAATAAAGGCATTACGCTCCCACATTGTTCTGAGAACAGATGAGGCCTTAAAAAACAAATAACAACCCATTATTTCCCTTCCTATCACCACAATACAACCGACAAAATAATAACAACAGACTACTGTACCCGCTTCGCCTTCACACGCACATACTGAGCAAGTCTTATCCCTTGCAAACAGCAACTCCTCAGAGACAAGCCTTTTAAATCAGGGAACCCATATGTTATTGCTATTTTTTTTATGAACTCCACCACCCTAGGAGGAATAAGCAGCTCTCTCTCTGCAAACGTAAATAGCGAAGGCTCTCAGCCTGAAGGGTTTCCACCCGAGCACCCAGTTCTATCTTCAAAGCCAATGCATGGTGGGGTGTTTGGACCCAGGCTTTAGAAAGATAAATATTTAGACAGAAATTCTGTCCATGGAGTCTTTAAAAGGGAAAGCTTGCTCGCCTTGCTGGTGAACCTGATACAGCAGCATAAATAAAAATACATTCTCATCTGCATTAACACCGTTCATGCTGCCTCCCTCGGCCCTGCTCAGGGGGGCCCAGGTCCCAGCCCTGGGCTAAAAAACCCTCCGGAGAGGGGCCGGCACCCCACCACAGGCCCACGGCAGCGCCCTTATTTATGTCTCAGGCAGAGGAGCTCCAGCCAGGATTTTTTTTAAAAAAAAAAAAAAAAAATCAATAAACTGAAGCAGAAAACAACCCCCACCCCCGCAGCTGGGCACCTGGCGAGGGCCTGGCTGAGGCCCGGGGCGCCCTCCCCGCCCCGGGCCGCCCTCCCCAGGCCCGGGCCCACCGTGAGGGGCCGAGCCCGCCCCGCCGCGGTGCTCGGGGCCCCCCCCCGCCCCGTCCCCCCTCAGCCGCCCCCGGCCTCACCCCGGCACCGCCCGGCGGCTGCCCCGCTCCGCCGCCCGGCTCCGGGCTCCTCCCGCCCGCGATGGAGGCGGGACGCGGGGAGCCGAGGGGCCGGCCCGGGCCGCCCCACCGCTTCCTGCTTCCGCCGTGGCCCGGCCCGGGCTGGGGGGGCGCCGGGCACCCACGGACCCCCCGGCACCCACAGATCCCCCCCGGCACCCAGGGCACCCCCAGCAGCCAAACCCCTCCACCCCCGGTGGCCCGAAGACACCCCCAACACCCACCGGAGCCCAGAGCCCCCCCCGAGGTTCCCAGCACCCATTTGAGCCCAGAACACGGACCCCCCCCAGCACCCACCTGAGTCCATGACTATCCTCAGCTCACCCACCCCCCCACCTGCCTGAAGCCCTGGCACCCTCTGACCCCACCCAACCCCAGCACCGGCCCGATCCCCCCCCTAAATCCCTAAAATCCCCCCCTAAATCCCTAAAATCCCCCCCCATCACCCACCTGAGCCCGTTAACACCTTGAGACACACAACCCTCCCCAGCCCCTGCCCGACCCCCAACAGCCCTGAGACCACCCCTCAGCACCCCCTGCAAACCACATCACCCCCAAATCCTTTGATAGCCAGATCCCACAGCCCATCACATCCCCCTCTCCACGCCTAAGCACCCCTTGGGTCCCTGGTGTAGCCCCAGCACCCCCCCATCACCCCCCCCAGACCCTACAGCAGCCCCATTTACCTCCTCCGGCTCCGCTGAGCTGCATTTGTGCTCCCCACCAAGACCCATCCGATGCCTCCCTGAACCCCACTTACCCCCAACTCCCTGGGGACACAGATGCCCGTTCCCACAACTCGAGTGACAAAGTTGGAGCGTTAACCCCCTCAAAACTGTGGGAAAGCCCTAAAAAAAAGTGTGAGAAAGGCTTCCAGGAGTAAAGGGCTGGGAGATGGAGCAAGCGGAGGTCCCCAGAGCCACCCCAGCATGAAAAGTTCAGAAGAAATCAGGAGCAAGAGGTCTCAGTCTCACCCAGCTCTCAGATGTGGGCTTCAGTCCTTAATTGCAATTAAATGCATTTTCAGAGTCAGCTGTTGGTTGTGTTTTTGGTACCACTCTGGTCCCTTTTCAGCCTTGTTTAAGGTCTCGGCGTCAACAACTTCCTGCAGCGATGAATTCTGCAGTTTAATTAAACACTGCGAGAAGAAGTACTTCCTCTTATCAGGTTTTAATTTCCTGCCCTGACAATCCCAGCACGGGAAGAGGGACGGTCTCAACGTCCTGATTTTACTGCCTCTGGAGGGGAATGGGGTGAAACTCTGGGGGATGCTGGCAGGCAAAACCTGAGACCCACTGGTTGGGGCACTGAAAGCTTTGGCTGATGACTTGTTCCAACTTGTCAGGAGCTTGTCCGGGTTCTTGGCTTTCAAAGTGGACACATCAAAGCAAGACGGTGGTAAACGGCAGCTGACTTTGGGCTGGTATCTGAGATCTTGGGCAATCTTGGCTTGGCTGGAGCAGCTCTAATTCTCATGGAGCGCCTTGAGGAATTACAAACAGCTTGAAGGGAAACAATCTGATTTTTAAAAAATTCCTGTGGTCCAAACAAATATGCATTTCCCTGTTGCTATTAATATCTTAGACCTTGATCCTCCTCCAAATACTTGTGCATGCATTTAGCAGCTTGCAAATGAGCGGTCCCTTTGATTCTGGAGTGGGAATGTTTGCTGGGATGGCAAGTTATTAAAGGTGAAAGATGCTTTCAGATGCAACATACTGACCATGTTTTCCAATATGCCTGATTGTCTTCCTGCAGTTTCTCTCAAACTGGCAATGAAAAATTAATTTCCAGGTTTGGAGGGGAGGTTTGGAGTGGTTACACTTATTTTATGCAACACCTTTGGGCACAAATTCAGTCCTTTTTTCTAGACATGATTTCTAGTGGAATAAGACAGATGTTTTCTTCTGTCTGCTGTTCTGGGAAGCTTTTTCTTTTGCAGATCTCTCGGGCTCTGTTCAAGCTCCCTGTCTTTCTTTTCAGCAGCACTATTGCAGTTTGAAGGTATTGCTGCATTTGCTGCCATCTAATGGGAGAATCAGCCTTGGCAACCTGAACTCTATTTTACAAACAAATAAAAACGTTTTCCTGCACAATCCTGCTGCCACTCGACAAAGCAGCATCTTCCCAGAAAATTTAGGTGAAGGGAAAAACTGATATGATGGATGGCTTCTGCATACGTGCAGCTGGATGGCTCTGCATGGGGTTGCAGACCCAGTAAAAAGAGTATTTTGGGGCTGATCAGGCTGAAACAGTGCTTCTCTTATCATAGACCAAACTTGTGAGGTGTGCTTGGATTTCTATTATCTTAAGATATATCAGCAAAGCAGAAGAAGTGAAGATGGGGCCCCCCACAACCCCCAAAAATTACCTAAGTTAGATACCCTGAATACGAAATGCAGGCACAGTTCTGAACTGAGCCGCATAAACTCTTCCTGAGGAGCTGTGGTCTTCAGGTTGCTCCCAGTGCCCCATCAGTAAAAATATTTTATCATGAAATATGGTAAAAAGGGATCATCATGGAATGAGAATATAAATATATTACATTAAGAAAGTCTTTTAATGATAGACCGAAGGGAGGATGGCATGTGGAAGGGGCCAGGCTGTGGGAAGACACTTAGGGGATGGGAGCTTTAGTGGTACAGAGGTGTTGAAGCCCTGAGATGGGGTGTGTGGAGGAGATAACTCATCTCTAAAAGCCTCAGAAATTCCTGCGTCACTGCAGAGTTGGACCCTACCTGGTGAACCTCGTAACCCTGATTTTTCTGGGCATGAGCTTCACCTGCCAGTGGTCTCTTTCCATCTCCATCTGCAAGTCAACACCCTTTCCACAGAGCGCTTTTGGGTACCACACGGAGCTGGCCCTGTTTAAAGGGGTAATTCTGCGAGCAGCAGAACCAGAGAAAGTCTGCTGTCTCCTGGGTCTGTGCCTTGCAGGTCTCTCCCGTGGAGATTTGTCATTGTCTGATAAAGACTAAACTTAAACTGCAATTTTTCCATCAATGGGGATGTTAATTAGTCTCAGTTACTCAGGCTTTTATTCATACAGAAGTCACAATGTCTCATAGCTTTGCAATTGCTACCCCTTGGGGACTGCTAAAAACAGCCTCTGGACTCCAAAACTGAAGCAAGGAAAGAGGAAAAGGGTACATACACAAGGGCATCAGGAGTGCTTAAGCCTTGTTTCTTTGGAAAGCTGAGCTGTAACAGTCACAAACATACAGAATAATATAGCTTTTTTTCTTTTTATTTAATATATAGTGTTACTGGAAAAACAACTCTTGTCACAATATTTTTGTGAAGCAGAAGCTGGCTACTATTATACTTTGCCATAATATACATATAAATAATAATGGCAACAAAAAGCAAGCCCATCTGAGCAGAATTATTTCCCCAAAATCTGCATGTAAGCACAGTCTTTATATACATCTGTTGAACTGCTGGGGGAAAAGGCAACACATTTCCCCTGTAATATTTTAAAATACTAAAATATAACTCTTGTATTCTTATTTATTTAATCTGTATGTCTTTCTCTGAAAATATATATTTCTCTGCATCAAACAGTAAAAAGAAAGAAAACTTTGAAATTATCATATGTGCTTATTTAGATTTTTCATGCTGGGTTCTGAAACTGATTCAGTACTTCATAAAGAACCTGTCTCAGCTGCAGCAGGGCAGGGTGCAGCAGCTTGCTCTTCCCTGCCCACCCTGAGATTTGCTGTAATAGTGCAAAAATCTGCTCTGCGAGCAATGCAATGAAAAGAGCTCTTGCAAACAGTTATCGAATCATATATCCCACCACCCCAGTGCTCTTTCTATTATCCTGGACATGCTCTTGGGGCTTTTGAGTTTCTTTTGAGCAAAATCTTTGGTACTTTTCTGTCAAAACCCCATTACTGCTCATTGGCACAATAAACCAGGAAACAGAAAAAACAGCTTTCCCTTGTCTAATTGGAAAGAGTTACAAACTGCGTTTAGGATATATTGCATATTTCATTGTTCCAGATAAAATCTGATTGCAAAGCCAGAGCAAAAGTCACTGCTGCACAGCAGCAGCGATGGCCCTAAACCCCCTTGTTTTGTACACTGGCCTTTGGGTGACTCCTGGTACTAATTTCTTTTATCCCAAGACTCGGTTTTGCTCCCTGCTGCTTCCAGTACCGTTCCAGCATCTCAGATCCAGCTGGGTTCCTTTTCTGCCTCTTTCCTTAGCCTGTTTTTTGTCTCCCAAAGAAAGCAGTAGAGTTTCCCAACAAGGCTTTTGGAGGGCTCATGTGCTCTGGGATAATGGCAGGAGATGAGCGGGGAAGGGGCCGGGTGACAGCCAGCTCCTCCGCAGCGGCTTTAGCTCTCAGCATCTGAGGGGGATCAGGCAAGGCAGGCACATGGGGAGCAGAGGTGGTGTCTGAGGGTTATTTTTATGCTTTTATGGCTGTCACCACAGTTTCAGATCACAGCAGGGGGAGTCTGTCCATCACCAACAGCAGCCCTTTTTCTTCTGGGGTGGCTTTGGTACTTCTTTTGCCTTATTTTTCAAATCATCTTCATGAACTTTGAGCAGCCTGGGAGAAAAGGAAGCAAATCAGCTGGGTATTTCTCCTACATTTTGTATTGCTGTGCTATTTGTCTTGACAAGCATCGATAAAGGAGGCTCAGCACGGCTGAAAGGACTTAGGAGCCTTCCACGTTAGGACAATTTGAGAACCATGGGCTCTGCTAAAATTGCCAACCTAAATCTAATCGCAGACAGAATTTATTTCCGTCAACCTAGGGAGAAATCAGCAGTATCCTGAGAAAGGTTTTATTAATCTCCTTGCAATTGCTGACTATTCAGGAGACATCTCACAGCACTTATCTCTGGCTCATCCCAGCCGTGCACATGCTGCTCTGAGTTTTCCCTGACATTTGGGCACATGGAGTCTCAAGTGACAGTAACACACCAGCATTTGGAGTTAAAAAGGAGGAGGGAGTCCATTAAATTCAGGGCAGCTGGCAAAATCCAGGCACGTGCCTCACCTGATTAAGCTGACCATGGACTCGAAGACATTGTGGCCTGAGGCAGCGCTGCATTCGTAAAACATGAGCTGGTACTCCTGGAAGACACATAGCCCAAACAGAAATGTAATATTCTTGCATTGGAATAGCTTAATATGGGAGTAAATAGCCACAGGACAGTCAAGGGGAAACAGAAGGGCTCATGGAAACAAATAATAATTTATTTACTGGAATGTAAGGGTAAAATCCATCTTTCCTGGTAGCTACAACACCAACATTTAGTATCAAGGAAAAGGCTGACACCGCAGACATAATGAGATGCAGTGCCCCCTGCTTAGTGGAGCAAATATGGAGACATAACCTGATGTTCCTGGGTCTTTTGTGCCTGTCAGTGACTGGTTTGTGGGGGAAAAAAAAAAAAAAAAAGTATCTAACCCCTTGTCCTGCTGTCTTAATCTGTAAAAGTGGTCAATCGATACTGACCCAAATCCCATAAACTTTGAAATTAAGTGAGTAAAGGTGGGATTCTTCTCACCTAATTTTTATTAGCCACCTACATTTGAAGAGATTAATTGTACTTTAAGCATTTTGATATCTTTAAAACAGGATAGGGCTTGGTGGTTTTATTGTTTATATGACGCTGGGAAGATATGTGATACTTCACAGCAAAGATAAGCAGAGCTGAAAATGTTTTCATTTACAGATCCAGTTTCATAAACTGTTTTATTGGGTGGTGATGAGTCAAAACTACAAGGGCAAGGGGAAAGCAAGGCAGGGAAGGACGAAAGATGGGTTCAGAGATCACTTGGCTGACCACCGATGCACAAAATATAAGTTAAGAGCTTTCACCTTTCTCCAGGTCCTCAGGCTGGTGGCATCCACCCTTAGCTGCCCTTGCCTAACTTGGGTGGGCAGCACGTGTAACAGGGCCGTGCACCTACCTTGGCCAAGCGTTCCCCCTCCTTCGTAGGGACCTGTCTCTCTGCAGCGCAGTCGGTTTTGTTCCCAAGAAGCAGAATAGCAACTCCTTCTTCTGCTCCTTCCTGGGCCATTAAAGAGGGGAGGATCAGGAGCGTGTCTGAATCCCCCTTGAACCACACCCGGCCACACTGTCTAGACACATCCCAGAGCACCGTGAAGGATGCCAACGGATTTGGGGCGATAAAAAACCCTTAAATTCTTAAGCGAGTTTAACAGCATTTAAGAAATAGATTTTTTTTTTTCCCTTAAATCATCTGTCTGGGTCTATTAGCTGGGCAGAGCACTGGACAAGTTACCCTTATAGTGAAATTCACTTTGTGTTTGACTTCAGGAACCCTGCAGAAGATGCTCTGGCTGGGATTTACAGGCACTGAGCAAGGCAACATCCTATTTTGTTCCAGTGTTTTTAAACACTGACTTCGTACTTGACTGGAAATCTCTGATAAGAAGTTTTTAATAAGAGATGAGTTACCTAATAAGAGATGAGTTACCCCCCATTTCCCAGGACTTAAAGTAGACTAGTCTTGATTTAGAAGTGTTATAAAAATCACTTGCAACATTTTACATTCCTCTGCACTGTTTTTTAATTTAAAAAAAGTTGATCATTATCATAATGATGCTATCAACAAATTACCCCAGGAAACACTGCAAAAATGTGAAAATTGTCAGTATCCGAATTTAAATCCTCCAAGAAAAAATATTTTCTAACTAAAGCAAAGGGCTTGGTCACCCCCAGATGTCCATCCCTAACCAGTGGCAGAGGTCAGGTGGGGAAATGCTGATCTCGGAGTCACCACCCATTCCATGACCTCCGGGACAGAACAAGGTTCTCCCTCTTCACCCACCTGGATGCAGCTCAGCCAGTACCGCACGTCCGAGAAGGAGTACTCCGATGTGATATCGTACATCAGCACAACCCCGTCTGCCTTCCGGAAGAACTGCTTGGTGATGCTGTGGTACCTGTGTACATTTTAAATGGTCACTGATAAGGTGGATAAGGAGGTTTTGCCTAGGAGCGATCTGAAATCCCAGTGGGAAAGCTGGAAATGCACATCTACAAGAAAGTCAAACCCCAGATTTTGCTCCTATCCTGATCACAGAGGCTGTACAAACAACCTGAGTGCTTATTTTTATCTTAATTACTTCCTTTATTATTCTTCATCCAATCACAAAGTCTACAGAATCCCTCCTTAAACAAACATGCATTTGTTTAGCAAAGCCAAGGACATTATTTCTACTCAACTACCAGAAAAAAAAAAAAAAAAAAGAAAAAAGAAAACTACAGGTTGATCTCCTGAAGCAGACAGCTCAGCGCCTCACCTTTCTTGACCAGCTGAGTCCCACAGGCGGAGAGCAAAGCGCTCGTTGTCCACAACAAGGTTTTTGACCTGATAATCCAGTCCTAGGAGACACACAAAAAGGGATATTTTGCTACTGTAGAGCTCACCCCTGTGACAGAGGATGGCTGGAGAAGGAACATAGTGCAGGTGTGGTCTGCAGCTGCACCTTAAGGGGGCTGGTCCTAAGTAAACCTGCAGCTTTTAGCTCTTTGACGGCTGGATTTTGGGGAGGTCTGTAACCTCATGATGAGTAAAACCAGGTTGGTTAAGAGAGGAGAATACATCTGAAAGGCAAAGCAGAGAGAAAAGCACTAGGGGCCATCAGTGTTGGTGCCTCAGAGAGGGCAGGGAGGACCAGCATTGCCTGCTCAGGAACATGCAGGTGCGTGAAGTTGGTCCTGTTTGGGCCTCGGCGACAGGTTGTATAGCGCGTTTGGCGTGAGCTGTAACATGCCTGTAATCACCACCAGCAGCTTGTGGGGTGGAGGAAAGGGAATTGTGAAGGTCACCCAAGCAGCTGCAGAGCTGTGCTGGACAGGAGCTGGAGGAGACCTACCTACTGTGGCGGTGAGGTGCGGGTTGAAGGTGTCAGCGTGCAACCGGTACAGGAATGATGTTTTGCCCACATGGGAGTCCCCGACGAACAGCACGTTGTAGAGGTGGTCTGGTTCCAGGGAGGCTTCAGGAGAACCTCTTGGGGCAGCTCCTGCCCCATCTGCAGTCATGGCCCCCGGCTCCCCTGGGCTGGGCTTGCCTTCCTGGCTTGTTTTCTGCCCGACCTCTTGCTGCTTCTCCTGTTGACCAACACTGAGGTCTTCACTCTGTTCTCCCAAGAGCTGCCTTGGAGGCTGCATGCTGCTGTTGGCTGCATCACCCAGTGAGCTGACTCCAAGGACCATCCCCAATTGATCAGTTCCAGCATCTTCCTCCTGTTGGACCCTCATGTGAAGGGTTGACGCTGGTGGAAACTCTTGTTTTGGAGGCTCAGCAGGTCCAGCAGCTACCCGCTCTGTTTCCATCACATGCAGCAGCTTCTCCTCCAGCTGCTGGGCAGCAGCAGGAAGCCTCACCTTATCTGCCTGTGCTGAGACCTGCTCCTGAAGCTCACTTTGGGCTGCCTGTCCCGAAGCACCTAGCCGCCACACATCTGGAATGAGAACATCCTCCTGCATCATCGATTCCAGCTTTAGCATGCTGATTTGTAATGTCACATCAGAGACCAGGGGGACCAGTGCAGACACACTATCATCATGGCCCTGCTTTAGCCCTAGACTCTGAATCTCAACAGAAACGCTTGCCCCTGCCTCCAGCCTTTCCCCCTGCACCATTTCCAGACCTTGAGCTCCATCCAAAGGCCTTTTCTCTGCATCAGCCCTCTCTCCCTGTGATATTTCCAGTGTCTGGGCATCCTCTGGGATCTGCCCATCCAGACCAGTGAGGGCTCCCAGCAATACTTCCAGACCAGGACCCTGAGTGGCAGCAGCATACTCAGGATGTAAGGTGGCTGGAGGGGACACACGTGCACCAGCAGCCCCCTCCCACGCGTCTGTGCTGTGAGCGGCACGCAGACCTGCCTCCAATCCAGGAGTTGGGCTCTGCTCCCCTTCCCACATCCCAGCTGCATCCAGGGGTGCCAGATCTGCCCCTGTGCTCCCTCCTGGGATTGCTTTGAGCTCAAAATCTGCCTCTGGCAGCAGCCCCACGTTGGCATCAGTACACTGAGCCTCCAGCGTGACCAGGATCGGAGCCTCCTCCCGTGGCTGCAGGCCGGCACCAGCCCCTTCTCCCTGCCCAACTCCTGCTCCCTGTGGATCGAGCACAGGCTTGCCTGGCAGCCCACCCTCATCTTGTCCTTTTTCTCCATCCTCAGCCTCCTCCACTAACTGCACAGCTGCACGGTCCCCCCCTCCCTGGGGGGTTTCTGGGCTGGGACCCCCACGCAGCTCCGTGTCTGCCAGGGCATCCGCTGCCTCCACCATGTCCACTAACTCTGGTTTATTGATCTGACCGAGGGGTTGCTCATCTGTAGCCACGCTCCCTCCCTGCTCTGTCCCCAGGGAGCCAGCCTCCCTCCAAAGCTGCAAATCTGCCCCCATGCTCCCTCCTGGGGACAATTTCAGCTCATCCAGCTCTGCCAGCAGCTGCACATTTGCATCAGCACTCTGAGCTTCAAGCGTCTCCAGGTTCTCAGCCTCCTCCCATGGCTGCCCGTCTGCAGTAGCCCCCTCTCCCTGCCTGATGGCCACTGCCTGGGGATCAAGCACAGGCTCATCTGGCAGCCTATGCTCGTCCTGTGCTTTCTCCCCATCCTCAGCCTCCTCCACTAACTTCACGGCTGCACGGTCCCCCTGTCCCTGGGGGGTTTCTGAGCTGGCACCCCCACGCAGGTACGTGTCTGCCAGGGCGTCCTCTGCCTCCTCCATTTCCACTAACTCTGGTTTATTTACCTGATCCAGGGGTTGCACATCCGGAGCCATGCTCCCTTCCTGCTCTATCCACAGGTAACCAGATTGACTGTGGGGCAGCAGATCTGCCCCTGTGCTCCCTCCTGGGATTGCTTTGAGCTCAAAATCTGCCTCTGGCAGCAGCCCCACGCTGGCATCAGTGCTCTGAGCCTCCAGCGTGACCAGGATCGGAGCCTCCTCCCGTGGCTGCAGGCTGGCACCAGCCCCTTCTCCCCGCCCGACTCCTGCTCCCTGTGGATCGAGCACAGGCTCGCCTGGCAGCCCACCCTCATCCTGTCCTTTTTCTCCATCCTCAGCCTCCTCCACTAACTGCACGGCTGCACGGTCCCCCCCTCCCTGGGGGGTTTCTGGGCTGGGACCCCCACGCAGCTGCGTGTCTGCCAGGGCGTCCTCTGCCTCCACCATTTCCACCAACTCTGGTTTATTCACCTGATCCAGGGGTTGCACATCTGGAGCCACGCTCCCTCCCTGCTCTGTCCCCAGGGAGCCAGCTTCACTCAGGGACTGCAGATCTGCCCCCATGCTTCCTCCTGGGGCCAATTTCAGCACATCCATCTCTGCCAACAGCTGCACATTTGCATCAGCACTCTGAGCCTCTGGCCTGTCCAGGATTACAACCTCCCATGGCTGCCCATCTGCAGTAGCCCCCTCTCCCTGCCTGATGGCCACTGCCTGGGGATCAAGCACAGGCTCATCTGGCAGCCCATGCTCATCCTGTGCTTTCTCCCCATCCTCAGCCTCCTCCACTAACTTCACGGCTGCACGGTCCCCCTGTCCCTGGGGGGTTTCTGAGCTGGCACCCCCACGCAGGTACGTGTCTGCCAGGGCGTCCTCTGCCTCCTCCATTTCCACTAACTCTGGTTTATTTACCTGATCCAGGGGTTGCACATCTGGAGCCACGCTCCCTCCCTGCTCTGTCCACAGGTAACCAGATTGACTGTGGGGCAGCAGATCTGCCCCTGTGCTCCCTCCTGGGATTGCTTTGAGCTCAAAATCTGCCTCTGGCAGCAGCCCCACGTTGGCATCAGTGCTCTGAGCCTCCAGCGTGACCAGGATCGGAGCCTCCTCCCGTGGCTGCAGGCCGGCACCAGCCCCTTCTCCCCGCCCGACTCCTGCTCCCTGTGGATCGAGCACAGGCTCGCCTGGCAGCCCACCCTCACGCTGCCCTTGTCCCCCACCCTCAGCCTCCTCCCCAAGCTGAAGGGCTTCCCCACCCTCCCCTCCCTGGGGGGTTTCTGGGCTGGGACCCCCACGCAGCTGCGTGTCTGCCAGGGCGTCCTCTGCCTCCACCATTTCCACCAACTCTGGTTTATTCACCTGATGCAGGGGTTGCACATCTGGAGCCACGCTCCCTCCCTGCCCTGTCCCCAGGGAGCCAGCCTCCCTCCAAAGCTGCAGATCTGCCCCCATGCTTCCTCCTGGGGCCAATTTCAGCTCATCCAGCTCTGCCAACAGCTGCACATTTGTATCAGCACTCTGAGCCTCTGGCCTGTGTAGGATTACAACCTTCTCCTGTGGCTGCCCATCTGCAGTAGCCCCCTCTCCCTGCCTGATGGCCACTGCCTGGGGATGAAGCACAGGCTCATCTGGCAGCCCATGCTCATCCTGTGCTTTCTCCCCATCCTCAGCCTCCTCCACTAACTGCACAGCTGCACTGTCCCCCTGTCCCTGGGGTTTTTCTGGGCTGGCACCCCCACGCAGGTACGTGTCTGCCAGGGCGTCCTCTGCCTCCTCCATTTCCCCTAACTCTGGTTTATTCACCTGATTCAGGAGTTGAACTTCTAGAGCCACGCTCCCTCCCTGCTCTGTCCCCAGGGAGCCAGCTTCACTCAGGGACTGCAGATCTGCCCCCATGCTCCCTCCTGGGGACAATTTCAGTTCATCCAGCTCTGCCAGCAGCTGCACATTTGCATCAGCACTCTGAGCTTCGAGCATCTCCAGGTTCTCAGCCTCCTCCCATGGCTGCCCATCTGCAGTAGCCCCCTCTCCCTGCCTGATGGCCACTGCCTGGGGATGAAGCACAGGATCATCTGGCAGCCCACGCTCACCCTGTCCTTTTTCTCCATCCTCAGCCTCCTCCACTAACTGCACGGCTGCATGGTCCCCCTGTCCCTGGGGGGCTTCTGAGCTGGCACCCCCACACACGTACGTGTCTGCCAGGGCGTCCTCTGCCTCCTCCATTTCCACCAACTCTGGTTTATTCACCTGATCCAGGGGTTGCATATCTGGAGCCACGCTCCCTCCCTGCCCTGTCCCCAGGGAGCCAGCCTCCCTCCAAAGCTGCAGATCTGCCCCCATGCTTCCTCCTGGGGCCAATTTCAGCACATCCATCTCTGCCAACAGCTGCACATTTGTATCAGCACTCTGAGCATCTGGCCTGTGTAGGATTACAACCTTCTCCTGTGGCTGCCCATCTGCAGTAGCCCCCTCTCCCTGCCTGATGGCCACTGCCTGGGGATGAAGCACAGGCTCATCTGGCAGCCCACGCTCATCCTGTGCTTTCTCCCCATCCTCAGCCTCCTCCATCAACTGCACGGCTGCACTGTCCCCCTGTCCCTGGGGTTTTTTTGAGCTGGGACCCCCACGCAGGTGCGTATCTGCCTGGGTGTCCTCTACCAGTTCCACTGCCTGTGCCTTATCTGGGAACAGCCCACACAGGTCTGGGCTCCCTGCAGGTGTTTCTGCTGGGGAAGGACCCTCACCGTGCACCACAGCAGCACCCATGTCTCCCCCCAGCCCCACCTCTGCTTTCTCATCCTCCCACAGTGGTTGCACACCTGGAGCCGTGCTCCCTCCCTGCTCTGTCCCGGGGGATCCAGCCTCGCCCGGGGGCTGCACAGCTGCCTCCACCTCTGCGAGCTGCTGCACGTTGGCATCGCTGCTCCGGGCCTCCAGCGGTTGCACATCTGTTCCCTCTCCGCCTTCCTGCACGTCAGCGGGTGGCAGGGGCACCTCTGCACCCACGCTCCCCCCCCACGCTGCCTCTCCCCTCGCAGACTCACCCTGTGGCTGGGGCTCTGCCTCCCTGGGCTGCATCATCTCCACCTCCCCTTCCTCAGCCCCGGATCCGCTTCTTCCCCCACGCTGAGCATGGGCTGGCAGCACATCGGCATCTAAGGTCTCTCCCTGAGGCTGCATCTCCTCGGTGACACGCTCTTCCTCCAGCATCCCGGAGCCAGGAGCCACTGTCACCTCAGGAAGGACACTGTCCCCCTGGGCTGCTCCCATGTGTGTCTCACCCTGGGATGGTGGCTCTGGCTCCAGGCACTCTCTCGGCTTTATTTCAAGTTTCTCGGGGAGCCCCGATGGCGGGTCAGCCCCTTCCCCCCGACCTGTGCCCAGGGGTGGTGGAAGCTCTCCCAGAGCCGCAGCTGGACCAAGCTCACCCGTGGCAAGCTGCCATCCCGCTGCTAGACCTGCCTTCCCAGCCTCAGGTGGCCCCAGACCTGCCTCCAGATTTTCTCCCTGGCTTAATGCTGCGTCCTCAGCTTCTCCTTGGGGCTCTGCTTTTTTGCACCCTGTTTCTTCCTGCATCCATCCTTCTCCCTCCACCTCCATCAGCACCTGCTCTCCTGCCTCCGTGCTCTCTCCCTGCGCTCCTTGCAGATGCTCAGCCGTTTTTAGCGTCAGCTCCTTCACACCAGCACCCTTTCCCTGCAGGAATAACATCCTCCGAGCCTCCTCTGGGCTCTCTCCCTGCTCTACCCCCGGCTCCTGAGCCCTGCGGTGCCCAGATCTCATGGACGCACCAGCCTCTGTCACGTCTGGAGCACGAAGCTCAGCTGTGGCTGGTCCCTCTTTTGGGTCTTCTTCAAACAGCTCATGACCGACGTGGCCAGGGAGGGTCTCTTGCAGGACGCCGGGGGTTGTGCCATGGGCTGTGGCTGCCTCTGGCTCCATTTGGGGCTCAGCATCATCCCGGGGGTGACAGGCAGTGTCTGCCAGCACGGGGGGTGTAGCCGGTGCCTGTGACTTCAACTGTTTGCTCAGGGCTGCTATTGCATCATTCATCTCTCTTAGCAAAGAGCTTTGGTCAGAGAAGTGTTCCTCTTTCAGAAATTCTGGAAAGGGATCTTCTTCTGTGGAGCTCGCTCTCGGCAGGGGTCCCAAAAGGTTTATTTCTGCTGGCAGCTTTTCCCAGACTCTGGAAAGGGCAGAAAATAGGGTGTGTGTGTGTGTGTGTGAGTCCAGTTCCCAGGTCAGGCTGTAGCTCCCACCCATCCACATAGGCTGGTGCTGGAGGGGGTCTCCCTCCTCCACCACTTCACCCCATCCCTCTCCAAACCCAATTCTCTTTACCCTCCGGGTATACTGGAGGTTCACACAGGCAGCGATGGGGACAGGGGGATGCGCACTCAGAGAGCCAGACCCGGGGCCGTATCCTGCCCAGCAAGCTAGCGTGTCTTTCCCAGGCTCCGTGTTCACATTATCAGAGAGGAAAAGCCAACTCTGGGCCAGGTATGGCAAGTGCCTGAGCCAAGGGAACCATGCAGGGCAGCAAGCTGGGGTAAGCGATCCGATCTCCGGGGTGAGAGATGAGTGGGTGGGAAAGGAGTGTTAAAAGGACTAAATATCGTGTTTTGCCTGGGGAGGGTGGAGGACTTGGGTGCTCGGCCCCAGCTCGCAGGGCTCGGGGGCACAAGCTGAAGCAGCAGCTCTTGCCCAGGACCCCTTACACTTGGTGGGTGCTCTTGGCTTTGGGCTTGCTGCTCTGCGACCCCAGCCCGATCCGCATCTCGGAGCAGAACTTCTCGCTCTTCTCCGGACTCATCTGCAGTAAACAGGGTGGGAAGAGGAGAGAGAAAAGCGCGTGGTGAGGGAGCATATCCACCTGAAATGACGCTGGCAGGTATTCAGACATACCCACCTGAAATCTCGGGAGTGCCAGAACTAAGGTGCTGCTACCCCCTCCCTTCCCAAGCATCTGTATGGCACTGTGCTGACCCAGACTGAGAAAGCTTTTAGGGGAGGCACTGCCTCTGCTGCAGAAGCACCCTGGGCTCTTGGGCTGCCCAGCAGTCCCAAACTGAATGGCACAAGGCCCTGGTACACGGACACCCCGTCCCATCCCCACACACCCAGCTGTACCTGTGGGGACATTGGCATCTCGTCGGGCAGCTCTGCCACCGCTCTGTCCCTGCAAACACAGAGCACAGGGGTCAAAATGGCAATTTTACCGTCTTCACCATGTCCATCCCTGCCCCAGGGTTGTCCCCAGCCCCGGAGCAGCGATGGGCTGGAGGAGGACAGCAAAACGCATGACCCTTGGATCAGTTCTGGTTGGGTCCCTCTGGGGGAAGGACGTCCCCATCTCTGCTGGCACGGGCCTCGAGGGACATGTTCAGTGCATAGTGTTAATAGTCCTGGCTTTTTTCCTGGTGCTTTTCACACCAAGCCGTGATTAATCTGCACTGTGGAAAACTGAACCACCACGACGGCTGAGACCCATCAAACTCATTCCCCATCCACTGCAACCCCCCAGGAGAAAACCACGTAGGTGCAGAGGGATATGATGGTCATTCAGCTACTCACCCGAGCTCCTCCGCGTGCTCCCGAGCCACCGCAGCCCTCACTGTCCGCAGGCGCTCGTGGGTCTGCTGGAGCTGCTGGTGGAGGTGCTGCAGGTGATCTTCCAGCACCCGGTTGCTCTCCTCCAGCTGCTGGTTTTCGGTGCTGGCAGCTTGCTGCGTGCTGCGGAGGCTGTGACACTGCGTCTCCAGCTGTGGGATGGCAACCAGGACACTCACACCCCGCCAGGAACCCCATGCAAAAAAAAAAAAAAAAAAAAAAAAAAAAAAAAAAAAAAAAAAAAGGATATCCATCTCCTCTAGACCTGGGGCTGAATTTTCCCTCTTGAGGGTGGTGGGTGGGAAACTCAACTTGGGTTCTCCGGGGATGGAGGGGAGCGTGGGGATGGGGGTGGCAAAGGTGGAGATGGAGGTCCTGTGTGACAACGTGCACCAAGGGCTGGTGGGGACAGGCTGGGATCAGCTGTAGAACAGCGTGCTGCTGCTGTGGGCACAGCCCGGAGACCCCACACACACGCTGGGGGGGCTGGGGGTTGAGGCTAGCTCACCTCCATCTGCGCCGCGACCAAGCGCTGCACCTCCCTCTCGCTGGCATCCAGCACTCGCTGCAGCTCCAGGATGTGCTGGTGGCTCCGGGCCACACTCTGCGTGGCGACAAGGATGTGAGCACCCACTGACCCGGCTGGGAGCTGCCACGGGGGTTTGGAGGTGCTGGTCCCCCGCCCCCCGGGGTGAGCAGCAAGGGGAGAGCACCCACCTCCTGCTCCAGCCGCTGCTGCTCCTGCTGAATCTGCTGCTCCAGGGCCTCGCAGAGCTGCTGCACCTCCTTGTCGTGCTCGGCCATGCGCCTGCCGGGGACGGGTGGGTGGTCAGACCCTGCTGCAGTGGGTGCAGGCCCCTGGGACCCCGCGTTGCCCACGGGACCTGCAGGCTTGCAGCCGGGTTTGTCCAGCAAGGACACGTCCAGCAGTCTGAGTCCGGCACTTTTGCCATCCCGTGCGTGACTGTAGAGGGAGCCCGACCCCAGACGTCGGCTCCCAGTGAAACCTCTGCTCCAGCCACTGATGGAGATGCTGATGGCACCCAGGCTTCTCCCTCCTTGGGTGCATCTCTATGGCTGGGGGGCCCCATCCTTCCCATCCTTCTCCCCTGCCCTGGGGTGACTCACTTGTTCAGGGCCACCTCCAAAGCCTCCTTCTTGCTTTTGACTTCTTGGATGCGGTGCCTCATCTTGGCCAGGAAGTCCTCCAGGTTGCCCAGGAGCTGGGGTTGATCCTGCCGGAGCTTCACCCACAGCTGCCAGATCTCCTGTCTGCAGGGAGAGGGGTGCTTTGTGGTGAGAATCCCCCCAGGACCCCTCTAAGCTGGGCTGGCTATGGGGTCCCGGGTCATTTAGCTCGCACCATTTGGGACGTGTGGTCCTGGGAGACAGATGAGCACCGGGGTGACCATGGTCCTGTCCCCTGCTCCGGTGCTTGGGCCAAAGGCACCTCCAAGCCATTTCTGGGTTTGCTGCCTGCATGGGGACCTCCTGGCCCAAGCCTTTCCCCCTCTACCCCATCCTGCAGGACACCCATGGGTGCTAAAACAGGACAGCTTACTCTTCAGAGATGTTGTCCGTGCCCAGCTGCTCCATGAAGGTGGCAAAGTGTCTCTGCTCCTCGCTGTCCGCCCCCTCCAACGCTGGGCTGGGGAGGACCAAGCGGACCCTCCGGGACGCCGTTTTCCGCCGGCGGTGAACCCTGGCAACTTTTTGGGAGCTCAGGAACTGCCCTGCCGAGATACCCCAAGCCCTCAGTGCCCAGCTGGGGTGACAGCATAGCCCAAACCCCGACGCTTCCCACCCCGTGGCTTCTACAAGCCGCTTTGGCAGAGTGGGACCCCTCACCAGACGAGCCATGAGCTGAGACCCAGGCATGGGGACACTTTTTGGGCCTTCATGTGTCACCCAGCAAGGGGAGTGTTTCAGGTTCCTGCCAGGACAGCACCAGGGCTGTGTCCAGGATCAGCCTGGGCTGCTTGGAGGCCGCGTGCCGGCACTTACGGAGCCCGTCAGTGAACTCCTTGGTGCTTAATCGCCCGGTGCCGGCAGCATCCAGCCCATCAAAGACGAGCTCCAGCTCCTCTGTGCTGCACGGGAAATCTTCCTCCTGCAATTTCTAAGAGCAAAGAAAACCAGGGGTAAAACCCACCCATCATCCAGCCACCCTGGTGGCATTTGTCCGGAGAAGACATCCCCATCCCTTACCTGCATGTCCGAGCGGGTGATGAACCCCTCCTGGCCCTTGTTCTGCTCCCTGAAGAAGTCCTGCACCCTCTGCACTATTTCGGATGCCCATGGTGGCTCCTCGGCGGGGCTGGGGGATGCTGGTGCCTCACCAGAGCCCTCGTGCAGCTGCCTGCGCCGGCTGGAGCCCATGCGCCGGCCCTTGGTGCCCGCCCGGCGCTCGGCCATGGGTCCTGGCTCGGTCCTGTCGAGGGGGAAACCTGCGGGTGCTGAGCCTCAGACCAGCACTCTCCTTGCCAGAGCCCTTTGCTGTGGCACGGTGGGAGACGGCGGAGCAGGACCAAGGTGGAAATTCATTTTGGCTGGTGTAAAGGGCCCCCGGGTTTGGCAATAGGAAGAGAGGCGCTTATCTCTGATTGCACGGCACAAATGGAGCCTCGACCTGCAGCGAGCAACAGCCGTCCCCGCCGGCCACGAGCCCAGCACCCACGGGCAAGCGGCTTCTCCTGCCACTGGCCAAACACCCATCCCAAATCTCCCCTTGCTCCACCCCATCTAGGGAGCACGTGCAGGGCACCAGCATCGCCGGGGCTCAAGGACCACCCGGGAGGTGACACCAGCAAAGGGCCAGTCAAGGTGATGCTGGAGGTTTGGGCAAAACGTGGCAGCTCCATCCGCTTTCTCGGAGCTCATCAGCAGCTTTTAAAATTCCTCCCCCGACTTTCACAGCGGTGAGTCACCTCCGGGAAGAGCTGCGCGAGGCCTTGGGGAGGTTTTCATCACGCCTGCGCCCTCGCCCCAGCTTGTGGGGTCTGAGCTCGCGATACCCCTGCTCCCTTGTCCCCATCCTGGGTGGGTGACAATGTCACCAGCAGCCACCATGCCATCCCCATGAGGGGCTTTTCTCTGCACAGCAAAGCTAAAAAAATTAGTGGAGAAAACCAAGGCCATGGAGAGCGGCTGATGGAGAGCCGGGGCCATGCTTGAGCTGTCTGATGGCCACAGTCTGGCTTTCTGCTCCTGGCCCAAGGAGAGCCCCCCCCAGCTCCCACCCTCTGCCCCTCTCCTTTTGCAATGTGAACAGCAATTCTGCTAAATCCTGAGAGGCACCAGCAACATGGCCCCAAAAACATCCCCTTCCCCTTAAAGCACAACACCCACAAGCACTATCCGGTAGCAATATGTGGACGGGGTGGGGTCTGGAGGAGTCACTGGAGCCCCACAGGACACTCAGCAAACCAGGGACCAAAACTGGGTGCCTTTATGGTGGTCCCAGCCTCTAAGACAGCAGAAGTGGGAGCTCTGGGGGGCAGGTGGGGCTATTTAAGGGATGGGGAAGCCCCCAGTTACCTCCCCAGCCTTGGAGGGTGAGCTAAGCTCACCGCACAACGGAGGCGCAGAACAAGGAGGGGGGCTGGGATGGGAACTGGGCACCCCCTGGCCCTGGCTGAGCAGGGCCCCCCCAAGGCATCACCAATTCCTGGTGACCTCCCTCCCCACCAAAACACCCCACGCTGCTCCCAGCCATCAGAAAAAGTCCCCCAGCCACAGCCCCCACTCAGGCAGCGAAAAAAGTCCCCCCCTCCAGCTCACGAACAGTGAGAAAACCCCCTTGTTTTCCTTGCTTTTCTATTTTTTGAGGTGGTGCATGAGCTATCCCCCGGAGCAATAACATTTACCTTTCCTGCGTGCCAAGAGGGACCCTCAGTTTTGGGGTGCGTGGGGCCGCCAGGCTCCGTGGGCTGGGGGGGATGCTGGTCCCGCACCGAGGGTGTTTGACCTGCCCCGAGCCCGAGCTCTCATTTTCTCTCTTACTCAAGGCGGCTTTCCGTTTTCGGGTTACACTCAACTGCCGGTGCTCGCACGTTTCCTGTTTGCCGCCTTGCAAGTGGGGTGCAGGAAAAGGACCTGGCTGGAGGGTCACTGTCCCCCCAAGCCCTCCAGATCCCAAAGCAAGGGCACCACCAGTGTCATCAGGAACTGCAACTGAAGTCCCCATCCTTTCCTTATTTGCAGTGGTCCAGCCAAGGCTGGAAGGTATTTGGGGTAGGGGAAAAGCATCGGAGAAACAGCAAATGTTATTTTAAGAGTTCAGATAACCCAAACTGCAAGACTATCTATAACCCGCAGATTATAAAGACAGAACAAACCTGCAGCCCTCCCCCCCCGCCCCCCCCCCCCCCCGAGGCTTTTTGGCCCGGTGATTTGGAGATCTCCCCCACTGTGTTGCTCACAGTAATATTTTTTCCAAGGCTCCTGCCTGAATTATTAACTCAGCTTTAGAGCCGGCACCAAAGCCAGCAGCTGCCCTTGGTCTGCAACCACTCTGATTTCCAAGGGGACAGAGGAATTAGGCGAGTCATGTGCATTTTCTCTTCACTTTAACTGCAAAATGGGAAAAGATCTCAAGCAAAACTCTAAAAGGGAAAACACCAACTATTACGTTTATGTTATAATTAAAATTAACATCCCCTGGCTCACAGCTTGGGTCTCAGCCCGCCTCTCCCCACCCGAGCTGGTGAAATCACTTGGAGGGAACCGGCCGCGCAGGTGCCCTGCCCCATCACACCCAGCCCAGCCCAGCCCTGCTCGTTTGCTGTTTAACCTAACCAAGCCGCAGCCAGCTCAGGTGCAACGGCTCCACCTGGGCATTTGTTGGCCAAGTCAAGGCTCAGCCGTTTCTCCCCCAGTATCTGGGTAAAGCTGGTGCCTGTTACCCCAGATGGAAGCAAACCCGTGGCCAGGCTGGGGTGCTCAGCTTGCAGAAACCACCCCTGAGCTCACTTTTGTCACTGCCTCTCACAACCCCCAGGGCTGTTTGCTGCTGAATTTTGGCTTTACTTTCCTTGAGGATGCTTTTGGGGGGAAAACCTGAAATACCTCTGGGAGGGCTCATTGATTCGTGCCCCCTGCCCAGCAAGACTCCGGCATCTCGCTTCCAGCGGCAGAGCCTTGCAGTGCCTGGGTTAGCACCAGCCCTGCAGCACCAACGGCCCTTTCCAGCCCCAAGGAGATGCCAGGCAGGTCTCAGCAAAAGGGGATTAAATGTAGCGGGGAAAAGAAGGGAAGAACTTGACCCCGCTCCCAGCCCCGCTTGGCCATCGTGGGAGTTTGAACCCCGGCATCCTCGCTCCAGGCTGGGGTGGGAAAGCAGCAGAACACAACCTGGACTGAAAGTGCAAAGTTTCCGTCCATTCCTCAGCTGCTGGGAGCCCATCATGATTTTGTGTCCCCAAACCTCCGGGGACACTGTCCTCCCCCACCCAGGAGAGGTGGTGCAGGGCTGGGGTCTCCTGGGGGGGGGGGGGGTGGGGGCAAAACTCGAGCCCAGGAGCCAAGATCCCTCTTGCACAGCAGATCCAGACCCTGGGTGTCCTCAGAGCCTCACAAACAGGGACGAGGGGGTATTTGCTGATTTATCTCTCACTTCCTCCATTGCCACTGCTCCTGACAAATGGGCAGTGACAGCAGAGGGGAGCAGCTAACAACAGCCAAGGGGGCTGGAAAGCATAAGGGAAAGATTAAAAGAGCTAAATCTGTAGGGCTGGGCCTAGCAGCAGCTGAAAGGCAGCACGATTGTGCTCTGCATTTCGAGGGGCATCGCTGTGTCACCCAGCACTAAGGCGACAGGAGATGCTTTAGGGATCCTTGGTTGAACGACGACACAAGGTTGTTCCCATGAAAACTTTATTTCCACCTGGATCCTCTGCAAATCAGGTCATTTATCACAGTAACCATAACTTGAGCTCACAGTCCACGTACAGGTCTTGCTCAGTCCTCAGAGGAAGCAGCGCTGAGGCCCAGGGGATGGCAGCCCTGGCAGCCAGCAGCTCCAGTCTTAGTCCCACCTGGGACTTGCTGCTGCATGTTTCCTTCAGCAGCGCCAGCACCTGCTCTTATACATCCCCATCCCACAGCATGGTCACACTCGGACACCCAGGATCCCTCCAAAGGAGTGGGGATGTGACCAGCTTGCTTGTGGCTAACGGCCACTTGCCCCACACGATAGTGCACTGGGGGTTTGGAGCAGAGGGCTGGGCTCATACCGGGCAGCAGAGGAGCCTACATTCACATGGATAGCAGGAGTTTCTGCTGGGGACAGGGTGGCAGCACCAATCCGGCACCCAGCTGCCCCAAGGGAGCAAAGCACCAGGGCTGTGGGGAGGTTTTGCCCCTCTCGGCCCTTGGGCAGCTCCCCAGCTCCTGGTTTGATGCCTCACGCTCCAGGGCTGTCAGCCAGGGCTCTGACAGCCCCTTCCCACAGGGGCTCCAGGAAAAGCACAGCTGGGTCTGTGCTGCAGCCCCCCCTGCTCCCAGGCAGCGCCTAGCTCAGGGCTGCACCCCCAGAGCCAGGCAGGGGCCCAGAGCAGAGCATCCTCCTCCCAGCACACTTATTTCCATTAACCCAGAGACACCAATTCCCTTACACAAGACAAGTGTTTATTCAGAGTTAACATTTATAGTCAAACAGGTATTTCCCCTTCCTCTCCACATAGACTTAATAGCATTCTTTTTATAAATAAACATTTAGTGCTGGGAGCTTGCCAGCTTCACCGACAGCAAAGTGCATCACGATGCAAGGTGGGAGGTTGACCCCGTCCCTTTCCTGCCTGGGACCATCTTGCACCAGTTTCCAGAGTCCAAATCCAGCAGAGCAGGAGATGAACCCCATGAAAGTGCTGAGACCTGACAGTGCTGAGTCCTTCAAAAGCAGGGACTCATCCTTCAGCGCTGGGACCAAGCAGCCTTCACTCCAGGACATCCCTCAGTCCCAGAGGTGGCCAAAGCCACTCACTCTGCAGAGCCAAATGAGGGTCCTCTCTCTCCCCACTCAGCCCCAAAGGAGAAAGAGTCCAGGAAAAAAGCAACAATTTTGTCTTTTGGTGTCATCCTTGCTGGTGAGTAGGACTCCCTCCCTGGAGCAGTCCAACAGAGCCGGAGCAGGCAGCTCCCAGCCCGGTGTCAGTGTTGAAGGAGGCAGGAACATGGGGGCAAACAGCAGCACTCAACAAGCCAACAACAAGGTAAGAAAGTGGGGTTTCAGGTCAGCAGAAACCAGGGAACCCCCAAAGCCTCCCAGGCAGTGTTGGTCCCACAGGGAGCTCGGCGCTGGGGACCTCCATCAGGTTTGTCACCATCTGCAGCCTGACCCGTGACAGCACCAGTGAGTCACCCAAGGGACGGGCTGGCCCAGGACAAGGGCTTGGCTCCATCCTGCTGGGAAGAGGGCCACCACCATGTGCCAGCAAGCAGGGTGGCCTCAGGACCAGGCTGTCCCAGGGCTCTACAGTCCATATCTGTGACCCTTTCTTAAAGGATATCTGGTGCCACCAAGTGACTGGGACAAGTGTCCTCCATGGCCAGAAGTCTGGCAGGGGGAGAGACCATAGATGGACAGCAGGATGGTGCAAGGACAACGTTTGGCCCCACCACCACGGGGCAGAGGACACTCTTCTCCGCAGGCAGGGCAATGCCTTAGTCCCACCAGGCCCATTTCAGTCCTCCATGGGGCTGCAAGCCTCAACATGGGCTGCTCCTACACATTGCACACAGTGGAGGTCCCTCAGGACCCCAGAGCTACTCATAAATAGGGAACTACAGACTCTACATTGCTTCATACAGACAGCTTACACAGTACAGGGTGGGGGGAAAAAGCCACGGACACCCCCAGAGCACGTCAGCATCAGCGGCTGTCCCCAGCAGCAGAGGAGCCAAGCTCCACCATGTCACAGCTTGGGCTTGTCAGGGACAATCCTCCGCTTGGAGCTGTAGAAGTCTGGAAGGTAGAAAAAAGGGTTGGAAAGTGCCTCCAGGCTGTTGGGAGCAGCAGGGCAGGAAAGGGGACACGTCGCAAGGGAAGAGCCCCAAAACCCAGCCCAGGTGGGCTCCATCTTCGAGCCACCCACCCAGAGTTCCTGGGGAGAAGAACCTGTAGGTCTCACCTATTTCCACTCCAGGCCCCGATCTTAGAGGACAGGCTCAAGCCATGGGAACTGAAGGGGATGAACTATTTTGGGGCACCTTTGGCTATAAAACCCACAAGCCCAATATAAGCCCCCAGCAACCCAAAGACACCCAGCTGGCAGCGTTTTCCCCTTGGAAGATGGGCTCTGCTCCGAGGAGAGATGCATGGAGACTGGACCCCTCCCCATGCCTGGGAGCCAGACAGGGCTCTTGCACCCAAGTCCCCTCCATCTGTCCCTACCAGGAGAGTCATGACACCAGCAACGCCACCAAGCACGCATGGAGTGACACCAAGCTTCCAGCACTCACCTTTGATAGTGGTCTGCCCACGTTTCAAGCTCTGTGGGGAATCAGCCCTGTAAATCCCCAAGCTCTGCTGAGACCCCTCAGGGGAAATCCTGCCAAGACGGTCCTTGGAGGGGACCTTGTGGACCAAGGAGCTCCTGTTCTCACTGCTGGTGGCCTTGACCAGGCTGTGGATCTCCTGGGGCGGCTGCTCAGCCAGGAAGACCCTTTCCCACTTGAATTGTCCTTCCAAGGGAGTCTCCGTCTCGAAGTTGAAGTTCCAGCGCTGCTGAGCTTCTTCCAGCTGTTGCCTCAACAGGTCTTCAAAATCATTCTGGAGCTGCTGGTGATCCACAGGGCCAAAGAGGTTCCTGCACACCTTGCTGCTGCATGGCATCTGCCCAGCCCTGCTCTGAAACAGAGGCATCGTGGCAACTGGAAGGAAAGCAGAACAAGTTAGTGGGGTGTTGGGCAAGCCACGAGCAAGCCCGAGGGCCAGCATGTTTGCTAGGAGAGCAAAGACACGCTGTAACCAAGGTGGGAACAAGGCAGCCCAGAGTGGACCTCCATCTGCCAGCACTCATCTCAGACATTTGGGATTTTAGCAGTGTTTTGAGCAGAGGCCGGAGCATGACTGAGGTCAAACACAGCCCGGCACGATGCAGAAAGATGGGGAAGGTGCCCATGTTCCCCATTCCTCCTCCAGCAGGCAGAGCCCGGCCAGGGCAGAGCATCCAGCACCTCGATGTTGCCACCGGTTCCATCCACAAACCCGCTGCGTTCCCACTTCCACGCAGGCACAACGCAAGTGGAGCAACAGGATGTTTTTCTGACCAGTTTCTTCATCTCAAGAACCCAGGCCCAGTGGCAAGGAAGCCTTTTAAGCAACTGCAAGAACGTGCCACAAGCTTGACCACTTAGTTAACCACCCCTGTTATCTGCAAGAAGCTGTTGGGTAACCAGAGACAAGACCCTGTTTGTTTTGTTTTTTTTTTTTTTTTTTCAAATCGGTGCCAAAACCCTTGACCCTTGAGTAAGTGGCAAAGCCTTTCCTTCCTAGCAGTCCTCCCGCTTACACATGTGTGGGGCTAAAGGATCCCTCAACACCACCCATGGTTATGAGTAACCTCGTTATCAAAGAAAAGCAAACGTTCTGGGATTTGATGGTTTTCAGAGCTAAGGCTTGACCCTGCTTGGATAGCTGTGCTCGTTAAGTCTGCTTTTAAAAAAATCAAGATTCACAGAAATAAAATCCCTGCAAGACAGCTTTCTCATTGCCCGCCCAGTCTGGGACCACAACAGACCCCCCCAAATGTCCCCGGGGATGGGGTGTCCAGCCTCCTACAGGGAAGTTTTCTGCCCAAACCGACCCCCCCGGGATCGCCTGCGCCCCATTCCCAGGCACACCACCAGCACTGGGCCCCTGGAGAGCCGCCAGCCCGGGGGCTGGGGGGGCCACGCTCCGTCCTCGGGGCCACCCTGTCCCAGCCCAGCCCCGCTCCCAGACTGGGCATCCCCGAGTAAAAATAGAAATCCAGCTTCCTATCTCCTGGCAGCCAGGGCGCATAAACAGGGTGACCTCACCACAAGGCAAGTCCCAGCATGTCCGGGCAAGCCGGGGCAGGTAGCAGGAGGGGGGACGTGTTTTGACACCCTCCAGCCCTCCCCGCCGGGGTCGGGCGCCCATCACCCCGGCCTCACGCCACCGCCGCGGCCCAAGTGCCACCCCAGAGCTCCGCACCTCGAGATAAAGCGGCTTCGCCCCGACTTGTGATTGCGGATTGCCCGAGCCACCAAACGGGGACAGAGCAGGGCCAGGTCCCCGTCCCCTCCCCTGGGGCCGGCGCTGCTTTCTACAAAGCAAAAGCTTCGGGGTTTCCTGCAACTCAGCTGGAGAACCCCAAGAATCGGACAAAGAGGTGATGCAGGTGCACGGCTGCATTAAACCCACCCAAGCCCCAAGAGCACCCGTGACACTCAGGACCAAGTTACACCAGTTGGGGGAAGGCTTGTGGAGCGGGAGGGGCCCGGAGCACCCACACCCGGGGGTGGACGGAGCCGGTGGCCGATGTGACCCCCGCGCCAGGTGCCTCCCCGGGGGAAGGCACAGAGAACGCCCCGCTCATGACACCGAGGAGCCCGCGGGGCTGGGGGGGTTGGTTATGCCGGAGCCCTCGGGGGAAGGTGTCCGGATCCCCATCGGCCGCCCTCGCGGGACCGCGGTCACGCAGGGGGGATGCTCCGCGGCGGGGCCGCCCGGCCGCGCCCCGCACCGCGCCCCGCCGCCGCCGGGGGGCGAGCGCAGCCCGGACCGGGGCTCCGCGCCCACCCGGGGGGCCGGGGGGCTCCCCATAACCCACCCACCCACGCCCCGGGAGCGGCCCCGCTCCCCACGCCGCGCTGGGGACGCGACTACCGGGGCCGAACCGCTCCCCCCCCACCCCCCGGCTTTCTCCGCGCCTCACCCACGAGCAGGGCACCGCCGGTCCCGAGGTGGGTGGGTGCGTGTCGTGTTTCTCCCCCCCACACACACCTCCCCTCCCCAGTGAAACCGCCCCCCCGGCACCAGCGGGCAGGGAAGGGCCGAACCCACCCCACTCACCGTCGCGTTGCGCCGCGTCTCGCAACCGCCGGGGCCCGTCGCGTCTCGCTTTATACCGGGGCGGGGCGGGGCCTCACCGCGTCGCCCGGGATTTCCCCCCCGCCCCGCCCCGGCCCCGTGTGTGTGTCCCCCCCCCCCCCCACCAAATCCCAGTCCCCGTTCCCAGGAGTATGCACGGGGACCCCTTTCCTAAGGGGGTGCAGGGATCCCCCCGTTAGGAAATACAGGGATCCACTTCCTGGGGTGGGGGGGTGGGTGAGGGGGGTGGTGCAGGGGCCCCCCCGATCAGGGGATACAGGGATCCCCCCGTTAGGAAATACAGGGACCCACTTCCTGGGGGGGGTGCAGGGACACCCCCCCAGTAGGGGAAGGAGTCAGCTCCCCATCAGGGGTGCTGGGAACCCCTTTAAGAGGGGTGCATGGACCCCACCCATCAGGGGATGGAGAGACATCCCCCCCCCCATCAGCGATGCAGGAGCCTCCCCATCAGAGGGTACAGGGACCCCCTTCCTAGGGGTTGCAGGGACCCCCCATCAAGGGATACAGGGGTGCCCTGTCCCAACTGGGAGACACAGAGCAGCGTTTCAGCTCACTGGAGGGGGGGTGGGGGGGTCCCCATCCCACCCAGGCTTTCCCGCCCACCGGGTCGCTGCAGGAAGGGGGGGATAACAGGTTGAGGAAAGGGCGACTCAGCCCCTCGGGGTGCCCACCTCAGAGCCACACCGGGATGATGCTCCCCGGGACCCCACACGCTGCCCGACCCCGTCCTGGGCTGCGTGGGCTGCCCCTGGCCTTTCCTGCTGGATTTTGTCCCCGGGGCCTGGCTCTGCTCTGCCACCTCAGCCCCCCCCCCCAGCCCCCGGCTGCAGCCGGAGAAAAGCGTTTTGGGAAAGATCCGCTGCTCTGAGTCCTGCAGGCTCCCGGGCAGGGATGAGGAGGAGGAGGAGGAACAAGTCCGTGCATGTCCTGCAGGAACCGGCGCGCAGGATTTGGAGGGGTCTGTGGCTGATCTGGAAAATACATCCAAGCGCACAGGCAGGAGAGGGCTGAGCCCAGGGCAGCTTCTGCCGGGGTTAAACTGCAAGGCCGGAGGGTGCCCACCCCTGCGCCGCAGAAAGAGCGGGGTCAGTGGGGCTGACTCTGCCCCACGGCCTTGGAGCTGGTGCCCTGAGAGTCACCTCACCCCCGCGCACGGGGCGGGGGGTCCTGTTCTGCAGCACCCTCCCAGCGTGGCATAAGCTGCCCGGGCGCCTTGGGCATCACGACTTGGGCAGCAAGGGTGCAAACGGGGGCTACTCCTGTGGGGCACAAGAAGGTGAGAGCACACTTCCAAGTGACAAGGACCGAGTTAGAGCGGTCCCTTGGCCGTGCCAGGCACCCTCAAAGGCCCCCGGAGCCAGTGGGTGCTGAGCGAGCCCCTCGGCGTGCAAAACACCCGTGCGTTTTCTGGCTGGACCAGCAGCTTTCCACCAATGCAAGCAGCTGGAGAATATGTTTAGACAGATTTGGCTGGAGGCTGCCATGCACCCCAGCAGCGTTTGCCATCCCCGTGCCCCCTTCGCATCGCTGGTCCCTGGCACTTGGGTCATCGTCAGCTGCTCGGCCCCTCGGCTGCCTCTGGGTGGGCACGGTGGGATGGGGAGGTGAAAGGAGGATGGGGAATGGGAAAGCATCCTAAATCACTACTGCAGAAAATCCATCCTGGCAAAGCTGGGGGTGCTCCTGAATTCAGCCTGACTTTCTGTGCATAACACACAGGGAGAGGAGGGAGCGAGCTGGAACCTCGCAGGGAAGCGGTCGCTGATGTTTCCACGTGGGAATGATTTTTGCTCCTGGTTGCAAAGAGCAGCTGTCAGAGCCGCAGTGCGGAGGGCTGGATGCGTCGCTCTGCGGTAGCAGATCATTTCCTTGCCAACCGCCAGCTCCGCTCCAGCTGCAGTTTGCTGGTTCGCTCCCTCTGGGTGCGAGGAAGATGCGATCAGCACCCACGGGAAGCCCGGTGCCATCTCAGCTGCAGCGCCGTGGGCATCCCCCCCCCAGCCAGCATGGCCTCCCGCTGCGAGCTGGGGAGAAGCAGAGGATGCTCACTGCTTAAACCAGCTTGCCTTTTTTTCTTTTTTTTTGGTTTGGTTTGGTTTGGGTTTTTTTTGTTTGTTTGGGTTTTTTTTTTCCATGAAAGCCCTCCTTCCCCACATACACAAAAGGGAATGGGACTATCGAAACAGGCAGCTTTTTAAATGAGTGCCCAGAGTGGCAGAGGAAGGAGTGGCCTCGCTTGTGCAACCCGCAGCGAACTCCAGCAACCGCTGCTGAGGAGCGAGGGATTAAAAAAGCAAAGTGACGTGAGGCAACCAACCAGCCCGGCTGATGCGAATATCCCCAGTTACACAGGGGATATATTCCAGGGCAAAACCAGCCAGAAAATAAATGAGATGTAGTTTTCCCTTAGGAAAGTATAGTTATCTCTGTGGGTTTTGGTGGGGTGGGGGTCAGGTCCTTGTGCCTCAGGAATGGGGAGGGGGGGTGGGGGCGCAGGTTTCTGGCTGTTGAAAACTTTGCTTTTGCTCCCCTCCCTCACACCCCTACCCGGGGAGCTGGAGCTCCGGCTCGCGGCGGCACCAGCATCGGAGGAGACCTCAGCAAAGTGGGTTACTGGAAATGGGAAGTGGGGAGAGGAATGGCGTCAGGGTCTGGGTCAGAGAGTCCATGGTCAAGTCTGCAGTGGCATCACCAGAAAAAAAGGGGGAAAAGAAAGTGTGATTAATACAGAAGGCGGTACAGGAACTTTTTTAAAAAAAAAACAATATCCCAAAGGTGACTCATGATGTTCAGCCCCAACAAGGCGTAGTAGGAGCAGTAGTAGGAGCAGGTCAGAGGCGCCGGGGAGTGGTCACCTCTCCCGTCCCAGGCTCGTCCTCCCCGAGGGGTGTCCCAAACCCCCACCCGGGAGGAGTGTGACCGTGGGAGAATCTGTCCTTGTGGTTTGCTTGAAAAACCCATCCTAACGCCTGGAAGCAAAAGGAATGTATTAAATGAGTGCGTATTTCATAGCCTTCAAAGAAATCTGCTTCCCAGCACCAGGGGCACCTAAACCCCAAGTGGCAGTCGCTGCCTCGGCCAGGGACCCTCGGGAGCGTTTCCTTCCCCGGGGGATCTCCCCAGGTGGGTCCCGCAGACGCCGAGGGGTGAGGGAGCCGCTGCAGACACAGATGCAAATACATTATTCATAGCGGGCAGAGTCGGTGTGTGACTCAGCCCGTCCTCAGCGCCGGCACGGCCGGGGATTTGTCAGGGGAACGTGCCCGGGCACATCGGCTCTGACACCACGTTTCATCCTCTCAGGGGACACGGGGAGCAGCACCCCGAAAAGCCAAGGGGATGAGGGTGGGAGCTTCAGCGAGGAGCGGGGGAGTGGTTTGAGCTGGGTGAAAAAATCAGGGTTTGGATGCCCCAGCCTCGGGTGAGGAGGTGAGAGTGGGGAAACGTGGCTTTGTGGAGCCACCTCAGGTAACCCTGACCCCCGAGCGAGGAACCAAACGTTGCGCCAAGGAAGGATCTCGGTGTGTTGGATGGGAATCACATGCTGAGGTCCAGCCCATGCTCATAACAACTGTGTGAAATGCACGTGAACACCTATATGTAAGGATTTTGTAAAGGCTGAGCACAAAATGTCATTACAATTTCATCATAAACACGTGGTTGATCTGGAAATGTTTTCCCAGACATAAGCCTGCCAGTGCTGACCGCAAAAACAAAGTGATCTGTGTGGTTTCTCACCCAGCCCGCCTCAGCAGCGAGGAAGGTTTGGAGATTTGGGGCTTAAAGGTGCACATGAAGTGTTTATTTGCAGGGGGGAACATAATATTCCTGTTAGATCAACCAACGTAGGGGGAAGAAACGGCAAAGTGTTGAGCAGATGGACATCCTTCAGGTCCTTTGGGATGGAGTTGGCAACGACAGATCGCACTGTTATTTTTTAAGGTGGGATAAACATAAGCTCTGCAAAAACCTGAATTTCTGCCCAGGGAAACAACCTGAGAACAGGGGAACTAAGAGGGGACCTCCAGCCCAGCAGAGCGGGCGGGGATGAGCACATGGGGGCTGGGGTTTGGTCCTGTAACACGCACCATCCGACACCCCAAAGGTCTGCCCAGGGCTGGCACCCACCTCTCCTGGGGCACGGGGGGTGACTCCTTCCCCCCTCGAACAGCCTCTACTCACAGAGCAGCCCAGGCAGGTGTGAAATCGCTCGGCTCAGGAAAGCAGTGACAGGCACTCCCTATAGGTGTAAGAGGCTCTGCTGGGGACAAAGCCCTGAAACAAAGCCCCGTGTATTCAGGCAGTAAAAACCCTCTTCAGCAAGATTCAAATCTCCAGGATTTTAGTTTTTTTTATTATCTCTACTAACAAGCTTTTTTCTTTTAAGTGGGAAACGTGAAGGCTCTTAATGAAACACTCACGCTCCAGCAAAAGTCTAAATGAACCCAGTGTTCGGCTGAATGGCGTTTATATCCCAGCGAAGACTGTTTTCCCATCAGCTCTTTGAAGTGCCCAATTAAGTGATTTTATACTAATAGGATTTTCCCAGGAAAGAAAGACAAGAATGACAAAACGCTGAATGCTTGATTAACTCTGCCCCTAAAAGAACTCGGATCGTGTTAATTGACTGTTTCCCCGCCATATACAGCCCTTGTTTGCTCCATTTATGAAGGCATTTTGATGAGACACCAGACCCAGCAGAGTGGAAATAGAGTCCCACCAAGCACAAATGGGGGATGAGACAGTCCCTAAAACGAGGCCTTTGCTTACTGGAAATATTCCTGGATGTGGGAGCCGGGCTATGAATCGGTCGCTTCATTCGGCCCCTCACTCATTTTCATCCAAGATTGTTTTTAGCCCCATTCATAGTCATTAGCGTAATTGCTTCACTGACTTTCCATGAGCAGCTTGGAAGCTTTGTGGGTTGGTTTTGTTTTTTGGTTTGTTTTTTTTTTTTTTTTTTTGCTGGCAGCAAAGGACCTCATTGTTCAGAGCCCGGCGAGGGCGGCAGGGAGTACCTGGCTTCGAACCTCGGGCTTGTTTGCCTGTTTATTTACT